ATTAATCCTTGGTACTGTTTCACAATTTTAACTTCAATCTTCGTCAATTTACTAGCTCACTGCGCATGCAGGTTTTTCCAAAGTAAATTCCAAGGAAAACGTTATGGTTTGGTGTGCCATATTATAGGACAAAGGAATAAATTGCCCATATTTCTTCGAGAAAAATATAACTCAAAATTAGCCATTAAACCTTAGAACTACCAATAACTTTTCACAAAATCAAGTCATTTGTCTTAACTGCAGTTTACTTTTGTAGTAGCTGATCCTAGTCTGCAATCCTAGTGGAAAAAGAGTTATTCAAAAGTACATCCTTGCAATATTTTTGAACACCCTGTAATCTGTACGCTCTGAAATCTGATTTAATACTTCAACTCTGATATCATCCAGTGCCTAATGCGATATGCTAATATTTGATTGTAGGAGACTCTCACTTAGGAGACTTCCAAAAATGAAATATGATCTGCACCCACTCACAAGAGCGAAAAAAGGTACACATTACTGTAGTGTGCTAATGTTTATCAAATGTTTTTATGTGCACATGCAATATGTTTATTTTCAAAAACTGTAACATCGCTCAATCAAAGCCTTATCAGCACAACACGCACAATCACATATCATACTAACTTTTGTTACTTTGGTTGTGTTTATCCTCGTAGCAGGAAGGGTCATCAGATTTCTGACCACCTCGATGGCAAGTAGTCTACCAGGGAATTAGACCAGCTGCAGCTATAACCGGAAGTCGGAGGGTTGTCCGGTATCAAAGCAATAAACTTGGACAAACTAACTTTAAACGACTCAAACGTAGCTTCAGCTTTAATATTATCAGGCACTTTGTTCCACAGTTTTGGTCCTCTTACAGCAAATGAGCTGTCATAGAGTGTCTGGTTGCTCGAGGAACTCGACCTAGACAGGGAAGGGATGATTGCTCGGGTACCATGTCTGGATGTTTTTGTGAACCTTATATTGCTGCAATTGGGGACAACATTGTGAAGGATCTTCCACATCATCAGAATAGTGTACCGTTCCCTTCTGCGCTGCAGTGACATTAGCTTTAGATGTGAAAGCCTCTCCCAGTAGTTCATATTTTCCAGGCCGCATTATATACGATCGGTGAATGTTCGCTGGACCCCCTCCAAAAGCTGGATCTCAGTCACCTTAACAGGGTCCCACAGCGGACAACAGTACTCTAGTAGGCTTCTGACCAAAGACTTATATATAGGGTAGTCATTACGGTCCTATCACGAGTTTGAAGACACTAAACACCCATGACAGTGTGCTTCTAGCTTTCTTGACCATCAACTTGATCTCTGCGCATCATAATAACAACCACTCGCAAGGATTGTCACTGCTCACTTCAGACACACATCCACTTCACAGTACCACGTACAGCCTGCACAGAGCTCAGCAATCAATTCTAAACGGCTAGCTGATTTTGATAAAATAACATCGTGATCCGGCGTGATCAATTATTTTAATTGAAGTACAACGGCTGCACCCCTAACTTCTTAGCTAAAGATAAGAGACGCATATATTAGGACATTTGTAATCTGATAAAATTTAAAGTTTTTGTGTGTGAATTAAAGCTTGATGTAAGAATTAGTGTGGAAATAAAAGAGATATTTATTTTATTATTTATAAATTATATCATATATCTTAATTAGGTGACAGTATTATTATTTTAACTACAGATTATATTATTTCAGTTAGTATCGACATAAATTTTACGATTGCAGTTTATTTGTATATCATATTGTATTCAATAAACCGGTTCCAAAGCCCTTAATATATAAGGGTGGCCCTCGGGTCTAAAACATAATTTGTGGGGGCACGTGGTACCGACATGCTTCAGAGGACAGATAGAGACTCAGAATTGTAACCACAAGTCTAAATTCTTTTCATAAATCTAGACTTGTGGTTACAATTCTGAGGGTTTCATACTATTATTAATCACAGAATTATCCTGCTGTTCAAATATTGACAGAAAGGAAAGGTGTTTAGGAGTCGAATTGCTACAACTTCAGAATTCAGATTGCATAACAATTGTATAACTTCAGATTGGAGGACGGTCTAGGGAAAGATATAAGAATTAAGCCTACTTCACAGCTATACTCTACAAAAGTACCTTCAGCGAAATAAGACGTCAACATCCATCTTGTTTATATCAATGATTGTGGAAATTACTTTTGTATTCTTAGTAATTTAATTCTTTAACGTTGTATTCTCTTAATACATTACGTTTGCTAGAATTCTTGTGTGTAAGCTTTAGAACTCTAGATGTCAAACAGAGATTTCCGGCCAAGTGTCAACCCGGGGTTTGAAGCACGTTATACTAGTTTCAACTTTTATCAAACTGATCCATCGATTTCAGCTATGACATTTTTAGTTTTGATCAAACAAATAGTTTTTATTACATTGTGGCGTTGATTACATTAAAATACAGTTTGATGTTTAAAACGGGGCATATGAAAGTTTTTTATCTTGTAAAACCTCGCCTAATCGACGAAGTTACAGTCAGATCGAAAATTAGAAATAGCTTATTTTAAAAGCAGTTGAAAGTGCTATTTTCAGAACCTGGTGGGTATTAGTCTAAAGATTCGTTGGAATTCATTACACTGACCATGACATAAGATCCAAATTGGGTGTTAGACTGTTAGGGAAATGCAGCGGACTAAATGCTATTTTACAATTACATCTTCCCCGTCACTGATCAGTCACATTTAAAGCTGCGAATGGTGTATTTGTTATGCCAACTAACACCAGAGCAGAACACTAAAACAGAGAACTTGTTAAAGTTCAAATTTAGCCCCGTAAAACTCAATGTATGGAATGTAACAGCCAATGTAATGTTCTTACAGGATCGTTGACATATTACGTAATCACGTCCTGAACAACGTTTAATTTAACCCCCCCCCCCCCCCTCTCGGTGATTCCGTATTATGTGAACGACCCCTAATATGCTTACATCGAGGTAGTTCTTACTGATTTATAGCAACATTTATCATAGCAGCTTGTTTTTTAAATCATTGTTTCTTATGATACAAGTTTCGTTACCATTCGTATCACACATAATAATAAATGTCTATTAAATGACGTAGTGTAACTCGTCGGAAAATTCCTGGTCTTTTTGTAGTAATTGTGCGGAACGCGCTTGCGCCGAATCAAAAATATGTGTGAAAGTTTTTCTTGCGCGCATTTACTGTGACATAATGTGTCACGTGATAATCTGAAACTTTGAATGGTCATAACACCAAGAGATAAGCAACAGAGGTAAATCTGGCTACGTAATATTGTCAAGTAGGTATCTAGAAGTTGTGTGAATATTTTGAAATCAAATTCGAGCGTTTACTTTGTGATTTAGCAAGGTGCGCGGGAAAAAGCAAATAACCGTCAGCACATGGCCATACAGCCTCCATAGTGTCATCTGAGATCGGCTATCGATGCGGCACTAATTACTAGTCCATAAAACAATCATCCCAGGAGCCTAGGGGCTCCATCAGAAGAGTGCCTTATTTGCCCGTAAGAGCCTCTACTAGTATATTTTTGCTATTATTTCTATGAAAGGGGAGGTACGGATAAAGTACCAAACCTTATTGTGTATATTTGGTTGCAACTCCGGTAAATGATGAAACATGTCTCTTATGAGAGTGATACCGTGAGTTGCTTCCTTCTTTTTTTTATTGTGAAAATCCTTAAACAATTTTACGTTTGCAATTGTGCTCCAGTTGATATCAGGCTTGGGGCGGTGCTTTAGAAGCGGTATTTCGGGTACTAGTAAAGCTCTTATAGGCAACTGGTTCCTTTTTGCTTTTGCCAGCCGTTTTTAGTCCAGTACTGTCTCATTCCTGATCTCAGAACATGCGCAACAAAAATTTTGTTATGCCATGCCAACGTGAAATTATTTGGATCTCGTTGTAACCCCCTGTCATTGCACGAAGTGGTTTGTGGCGAAAGCCACGAATGACGAAGCCGCGCACTCGTGTGCGGCAGGGCTACACCGTGAAACAAGGCATTATGGACTATCGATCTATGAAATTTAAACATTTAGAATACAAGTCAGTTAATGAAATATTTTTAGAATAACTTTCACACTTCTGCTTTAGAATTTTTATTTAATTTTGAATTCTTTAGTTTAGGCTCGGCGCCGTCATTATAATGAGTGACTAGCACCGTGCTGATAGAAATTTATGATTGAGATGAATTTTTGAGTAGTATATAGTAAAAAGCGTATTTTACATAGCATAATCTAATTTTCATGAGCATATCTAATTTTCATGAGTTTATTATCGGATGTTCAAGTTTAACTGTGTTTATTATGATATTATAATTCATTGTAATATGGCAATAAAATTTAAATTTTGTTTTACTTAAAAAATTTTGTTTTACTTATTATTTTAGTGTTATCGTCACTACTTTAACGAGATTTCTTAGCGTTATCAATTTACAGTAATGGGACACAGCAGTTTTAAGACGGATTAGTGCATTTTTGATTGATAAGTAGTTCTAGTCACTGCTTATCAGCTTTACTATATATTTAAGTGTTTAGTTTGTTTCATACTATACTATAATTTTCCGTGCGGAGTTAAATGAAACAAAATTAACTATGATGATTATACATGAATTAAGAATTTTACTAGATTGAGAGATAGAGATTAAGAGTGCTTATCTTAAAGTTAAATGTTTTTACAGGCTCTAATGATGTAGTTTTATGAGATTTCAAGCCTTACGTTGTGTGTTTCCTTTTGTGTCCAAAAGCATTATGTTCTTTCTATAACTATGTCAGCAGTCAATGAAACAAGTACTTGATTGTACATATTAGAATATTATACATTATATAAGTATTATATTAAACAATGATCAATCAAGAATGCTTTAATATAATATGACAACTATACCATGATGAAATTGTAAATATTTTCCTGTATCATATTATTATCTTGATAATCCCATTATATATCCATATATAAGCCATAATCAATTCTGTCATTCTTAGATAGTAATATATACATACTAACACTAGATGGCGTGCTGTAGAATAAGTGGTCAGATAGTGACCTTATTGGTTAGCTTCAGTATACTTGTGTTCTACATGATGCTGGGGGCGTTCATGTTCACTGCAATAGAGCTACCGCATGAGAGTAAAGGACATAATCTCTCTTTAGCTCGGGTTAGTTGTTATTAGTTCTATTACAATATTTACTGATCTTTATAAGTAAACAAGGTCTTCTGCTTTTATATTGAGTTATTTACAAATATATTCATTGTGTTATTATATCCCCTCTCTTCAGCTGCAGAAAATGACTTCAAGTTCGAGCAAAGCTATCCAGAAACTAACTGCTCGTTTCAACTCAAGTGCTTGTGAGAGTTTGGAGGCAATCGAGTTCTTTAAGAACCGTGACAATGCAACCCCTCATGACGAGGATGAAGGTACGAGGAGAAGTGTGGGGCTAGATGAGGGGGAGGGAGGGGGGAGGGGATACTTTCGTTGTAAGAACTAACCCCGTTGTAAGAACTAACCCCTTTTAACCGTAAAATTATTATCTTTTCAGTGTTTTCCTGGACTTACACAAAATCTATGATGTTCGCCTTTGCTACCATCACTACTATAGGTAACACCTAAATTTAATAACGTATTGATCTGAAACAAATGTTTGGATACTGACTTGGGCCCTTTTTAACATCACCATGAATGATTCATTGAATTATCAGCATGCTATGATCTTCTGTATGGCCTAGGCTTACTATAACCAACCTGCTTAATCTTTATATTTTATGTCGTAATATATCAGGGTATGGCGACTCAATACCAACCACACATGTTGGCAAGGGAATGGCAATACTGTTCGCTCTGACTTGCATCCCTCTCTACTACATGATGGTCAGTGTTCCTGAGAATTTTCAACTTTTGATAAATTGTGTCCAATCTTGAGCAAGAAATTAAATTCAGATTAGGTAAAAGATAAATCTATGGGGAAACCCCACGTAATGAGTTACTTTAAAGCTGAGATCTCATTGTTTTTGAAGCAGTATTTGTTCGCTGTATCCACTATATAATATATATTACAGCCATCCACAGCCCCCATTTACTATATTATCACTACAGGTGATGCTTTACGCAAGACACGGGCTAACTATCACTAAAAGTCTGATTGAAACTTGCACCAGTGACATTAGAAAAGCTTTCCTGGTAAGATAATGGAAAGCGTTAAGAACTTTTAAATCAATCAACTTTTACAATGTTTCAAAATATAAAAGATTAATTGAAAAACTTTACATATTTAGGCCGGCCAAGATACCCCGGATCTTAGCGACACTTACAATGTTTTCTTAGAGTAGATCTATCTATGAAATATCGAAGATTCTACTATGAAATATGTTTCAGATTCTCAATGCAGTGTTATTTGGACTCCTATTTATTGCGATTATGTTCTTTACCGCTGTGTACTGCTTCACTGATAAAACTGACTTTGGGAATTCTTTGTGGTACACATTTGCCACTTTCACTACCATTGGATTTGGAGGTACGATCAGTGTTATGTAAAACATATTCAGGTTACATCTTATCACTCTGTAGAAATGTAGGAGGACATTTTCAAGGACCTCAATTCTCAACCTGAAACTAATATCAAAAAACACTCTGCAAAGCTAAGTGTATGCTGGGATTAATCCATGGCCAGGATGGGATGATGGGAATGATTATCAATGAATCTACTTAGAATTATTAATGAATCTAGTTAAAATGATTATTTATTTCTTGATTAATATTTATAAATTCAGATCACGTCCCCGACAACGCACACTCTGGACACGCATTCTACTTTATTGTCTTTGTTACACTTGTTCACATATTGATTGGAATGATCGTACTCTCTTGGAAGAGCTCCTTCTTGAAGGTAAATTAGCTGAGCCAGTGAGGCTTTCTCTGTTTAAAGGCCTTAAACTCTATACTCTATACTAAATGTTCCAATGAAATCTCTAGGAGGATTAGGCGATTGAATTTTGAAAATATAAATTTACATATGTTGACCATGATTACTAATTATAAGGATTTGGTTTATATATTATAAATATATTGGTGACCCCCGGCCCCCTTCCAGGTAAGTTTTAAGTATTAAAACTTTCAACACTACTATATAACAAATAATTTGTTGATGGCGTTGTAATAATAATAAGATGGCGTTGACGCCGAAAATTTGCCTACATTCCTAACTCCCTGTTTCATTTGTCCTTGTCTCTTCTAACCGGATATTATCCAACTATCAGTATTTCAATCATGATACTAATAAACAGCGAACTACTTCATCATTTGATGTTAAGTTTAATAAATCTATCATCAACTGATGAACTACTAAAGTTAATATCTAACCTTGTTTAATAACTACAAGATGTGTCTCCCTCCAGTTACACCGCACAGTGGAGAGGTACAGCTCTACTGTATTTGGACTCTGCTGCCATGTCTCTCTTAATGTAAGTAGAGAGTTGTTAATGTGAACCTTATGTGAACTGACAGTATCCAGTTACTATACCCTTTACACCCCCTGTTCTGATCAGTGCCCCCCCCCCCCCTAGTGTCGACCGCGCCCCCCAGTTAAACATTGTATTCTACAGAGTTCACTGCTTGTGGAGGTTGGAATGACTCGTTTACCAGAGGAGCCTGTAGACGCAGAGATGGAGGCTGTCCAGTTCGACCCTAATGATAACGAGGACGAGGACGTCTTTAATGAGGGTCAGAGAGTTGCCACGTGATAGTCACGTGATAGTTACGTGGGCACGTGATAGTTTACACTTCAGACTGTATTATATAATCAATTAATGTTAATCTCTAGTGGATTCTGTTATTTTGGCTCACCCTGTGCCAATGATGTTTTGACCAATCTCATCTTAACATAATAATTTATTTTACTGTAAGTTATAATTTTATTTTATGCGAATTTACATACGTTACAAAAGTTTATGCTACAGTTTTATCTTTAAATTTCACAAAGTATTTTAGTTTTTGATTAACAAATAATTTTATGATATATATTATATTATACATTATACAATGCAATGTAACCTAATATAATATGACAGAAAATATATAATTTCAAAATTGTGATTAATTTCAATTACGTAATATTAATCATGATCAATTATTAATTTATGTACCTAGTATGAATACGATTAAATCGTGTGCGCGATCTATAATAATCAATATGTTCAGTGTACATTTTTTGTTTGTTGGGTTTTATAGGCAGAGCATGGTTTTGACGTTTGTTAATTATATACTTCAATTATTTTTCAACCAAAGCCGATATTTTTAAATTTCATTCCTAGAAACATCTAAGTGTAAGCTTTTTTTATTAAGTTTAAAGGCTTGAGAAGGAAACAAGGTTTAAAAGAAGAGAAAAGGAAACAATAATGATCAATTTATTACATAGATATATTACCATTATCTATTTTATTATTATCATCAACGTAGATCGTGAATTTAAAAATGATATTTATATGTGTTATGTTATTGTGATTGATTTTTAGTATTTATGATTTATTGCTGCTATCACACCATAGTTTCATTAACTACAAACTCATGCAAAGCTCGACTGGGACTGGAAAAAGTGCAGGGACCGGGATTAAGACCAGGAGGCGGGACCGGCTAACAAAAGTTTTACTTGCAATAATAATTGGATAGAAGAACCAATAAAATATCAATCTTAGTATATTGATCTTAAATGACGTTTATAATCTAGCAGCTGGTAAGAATTCCGTGGGAACAAACCTTGCGGCGCAAGTTGTTCCCACGGAATTCTTACCAGCTGCTAGATTAATAATGGTGTTGAGTGTATTTAAACAGTATGCTATGTCAGCAACTTGGTTGATTAGTGTATCAAATTTGCAGAATATTCGTCATTTTGATTTTAGCGTAAAACATCATGGTATTTTGTTGTCTGTATCTAAGTAGCCATTGTGGTTTATCAGTGCGAATACTTTGCCTATTACGCTTATATTACTTATTAATAAGACAAATAAGACAAAAAAATTTTTAAATTACTGCTCCAGTAAAATACTTCTTTCCATAGTACTTACTTTACTTTATCAGCAATCATAATTGATAACAGCATCTAAAAAGCTTTATATTGGATTCCAAAAATTCAAGTATTGAAATTGATAAATTTGAAAATAGATAGCTTCTTGGAGTATATATTGGTGAACTATGAAGAACTGTATAGTGTATTTAAAAGCGTTCTATCTTATAATTAAATGTTCCTTCATTCAGGAGATGTGTTTGACTGATTGTAGTCATGGCAACCACTGAAGTGTTCCCTGTCAAAAAGCGGGAGGAGTATCAGCAGTGGAGAAATTTAAAGGGATTCTCAGTGGAGGAAGTTGGGAGGCATAATTACGAATATCCTGTTGAGATAGAGACATGGTCATCAGCATCTGGTCATCCCATGCCTAAATCGTGTCAGATTCCTTTTGTATATCCTCGTATATCACTTCCATTAAGCTTGAAATTAGAGAGATGGGTAGATAATCACAAAAAGTATATCCTTGATGTAACCAATGATCATTTGTTTGACTTTGAAGTTGAACTTCCTCCAAAAGAAATGCCAGAATTTATTCCTGAAATTTTCTCCATTGGAAAGGTTCTCACGTGGGCAATGAGAGAACAGTTCGACTTGAAACAAGTCGACATTTTCATGGTAAGTTGTGCTTTACGAGATATTGCTTCTACTGCAACTTTAGGCCGTACTGGTGAGTGGGAGTATGCAGTTTTTTGCTACAAAGGAAAAATGTTTATCGAGAAGATTGTTGATGACAGTCAAAGATACTGGAAGTATGGTTTAGATGCACCGCCAAATTATGACTACTGGAGATTTCTGGATAATCCGAAAATTCTTCCAGTACAAGGAGAAAAGAATTCAGAAGAAATTAGTTATATTATACCTGACTTTGATTACTCTGATGATACAAAGATGCATTGGGAGTTATCAAAGTATGGTAAAAAGTTCGAGGATGTGTTAAGAAGTGAGGGGGGTGGGAACCCTCAATACAACGGAGAGGATAAGAATCTTAAATGGGCAAAAAGTAACAAGCTATTAACCCTTGGGGACCACAAAATTATAACTGCTACGAGATTAAGTTGCCAAGAACCAGATGGGCCAATAGATAGTCAGGAAAACATGGTAGAGACAAAAACAATGTTTCCCCAGTCGAAAGAAAACTTTTCTAGATCTAAGGCGTTAAGTTTATGGATACATTGTGCATTAGTTGGCATTGAAGCTGTCTATTGTGGATTTCGTTGTGAAGATGGACAATTGATTGGGATTAGGAAATTCACAATGAACGAATTGGCAGAACTAGGCAAAGATTACTGGTCTGCTCCTGAGGTACTTGTATTTTTGGATACATTCCTTTCGTGGTTAAAAGAAAAGGTAAACAAAGATTCAGTGCGAAATAAAGAAGAAGTGTGGCTAAAAGAGGAGATGAGTGGAGATGAAGGAGCAATGTACACCTTGATTTACTCAGGAGATGGAAATATCCGACTGGAAAAAGATGAGCACCCAGAGTTAAAGAAAATAGTTACCGAGAGATACTGTCTATAATCACATATTTAGCATATGTTATGTCTATAATCACATATTTAGCATATATTATGTCTATAATCACATATTTATCTTATTATACTACATGTCTATAATAGCATATTATGCAGTATTTTTTATGATTCCCGGTGTAGTTGAAATTAGTTATTATTTTGTGGTTTGGTTATGGAATATGAATTTTTGAATTTGAAATTAGGTTACAGAATTGTATTTTGGTAATTTTTTGAACATTGACTAATTGATATGGGTTTGTTAGTTTGTTACATTATGTTAAAGAAATATTTTTTAGTGAGTGTTGAACATTGTGCATTATAATATTATCTAGTACTGTTTTTTTGATTATTTGATTGCTTCAGATTTTCGTTTATTTTTAAGACTAAATATGTGTTTACTAATTTGTTATATTATTTTAAAAGAATTGTTTTTCAGTGATTGTTTGAACATTTTGTCTTTCATCGCAGCGTTTGAATTGAGAGGAACTAGATATCATCCCTTTAGCACCTAAGTAATAATCTTCCACCCATAGGGTATAGCTTAGTATGTGCAGCACTGTTTAAATTTCCATATCCCAAAGTAATGGAGAAACCCCATGGCCCCATGCATACTTGATATGAGTCTTGTCTAATCACCTTGCAGTTAAACATTTTAGCATCCGTTGCCATGGCTACTTACACCAACGGGACTAAATCCATACATTGAGCATAACTTTAACTACAATGTGACCATATTTATAATAATAATACTGTTGAGCAGTTTCATTATCTATATTTTATCTAAACTCTGTTATCTCCCCAGCTCAGATTAGAATGAATACTCTCTGCACCCGACAACTCATGAGATCAGATTTCAAGAAAACTGGCTGCAGGAACATAATAGGTAATTTCAAACATGATCGTCTTACTTTGATTTTATAGATATTTTCAAGGAAAGGCAGATTCAATTGCTTCTTATTTCAGAAATCACAACGATTATATTGTTATCAGTAATATGTTAGGTTACGCAAGAAGATGGAAAAATAATAGGATAGATGAACAGAGGATGAAATACATGGGAGCTGATAAACCTGCTGCAGAATGGATATTGCTGTATGTTGTACATTAGTTTTACACATCATTTGATCACTTTCATGACAATATGGTTATACAATATACATGTGTATACATTGTATACATAGTGTACAATGTACACTATGATTAGGAGGGAATCTGCATTCCACAAAAACAAGCTGACTCTGCCAAATATAATGTAAAACATTCTTCAACCACCTCTAACCAGTAACCAAACACATTTACTGGACTTTTGCAGGAACAAGGGAAAAGTGAAGATGTCTGGTAGTAATAAGTGGATATCTTCATTCTGGGACTTTCCTCAAGATAACTTCTCCAGTGACTTCAGACTGACTCACATTCAGGCTGACAACACTGAGGTTTCTTCTACTGGTAATTACTTTAAACACATACTTATCATACCTTAATTACTAGCACCCAGTGTCACCTAGTCTAGGGAGTAGCTTCAAGGATCCATTGAACCTATGCGATCTCCTCGGTCGACTCAGCCGAATGATAGGAAACTTGACTGAGGGTTAAATGAGGAGGGGTACCTGTTAAAAGTTCAAGAAACTTCCTAGGATACCCCTTCAGTGCATACTGCATACTGTAAACATAAATACTATTAACTATTAACTATTAACTATTAACTACAGTCTACTTAAATACTTGTCACTAATTAAAACCGGTTGTTATGATATCACGTCTTGTTAATATGCCAGTTTCCTAGATACACCTGCACAATTATATTATTACACAGTTGTACAATGTACGTTATACTGTCTCAGTTGTATAAGCTTTCGTACAGTACACACTGCACAGTCACTGCACAGTACTTCTTGAACTTATTATAGATATATGTGTTGAATTAGTCTTCTTGTTTATTAACATTTGATTCTTAGTTAGTATAATGAGATAACAGTCAAGTTTCAGTTAAGTTTGTATGACAGTTAGTTTAAATTGATGTATTATCAGGTTTTAGATACATAAAGAACCTGGCCTATATCCAGACAGCCTCGTTTGCCCAGTGCCGGTATGTTGATGACAGTGCACTGCCTCATTTACATGGTTCAGCAGACAGCGGTTCATTAAAGGTTACTTTTTATTAACTATTAATTATTACTTTAAATAGTAGTCGCACTAGCTCGTATAATCCATTAATTGCTGTACTTTCATCTTTGCTTTAATTTCTACTGACTAGATATTCTCTCCAGGCACTAAACCTATCAAAGACTAGTATCACACAGCACGGTATCCGTCAGCTAGCAGAACTTAAATCACTCAAACATCTCGATATTTCGGATTGTAAAGGAATGTTGGATATACCTTTTGAATCTGAGTTGCCTGATTTACTGGATTATCTCAAATCTGAGCTCCCTAAGTGTGCTATAATCTTACATTCGGGCAAAGTTCTGGAAGAACAAATGTGAGGGTGCAAGTGATTGTTTTGAGAAATCTTGTAGTTTTTATTATTGAGTTTAAATTTTAATACGATATTTATTATTGCTGGCCCTTTTGTTAGAAAGTTTTGATTTTTTGATATTTTTTTAATTGTTCAACTTCAGTGTGGTTATTTATGTATTTATTGCTTTCCAAACCGCAGCGGTTATAAACTTATCATGAAAATGTTATGTACATAAAAATAATCGATTATTGAGGAGTTATAAAGTGAGCTAATTTTATGTGCGTGATTGAATTTTTGATCCTGCATTTCTTTTCCTTTCTACTTTTCTACAGAGAGTTTCTTAGAAACTCAATTTCTAATCCAGTCTCTTTGTTATTATGTAGTTTTTGGAAGTAAGAACTAGGATGTTAATACTAACACAGACTCTTTCTGATCATGTCTCATTATTGACATTTCGAGCTAACGTGCAACTTCAATATTTTGCTAATATGACGCCATTATCGGCGCAACTGCAATGCCATTTTGCCGCTACCAGCTCAGAAATGCCACTTTCCTTACTTTTGTAGATTGAATTAGTTTTAAATGATTTCCAGTGACTCTCGGAACTTAGTTTCTAATCCTGTCTCACTGTTCTATATTTGTAGTTAGGATGTTAAGACTTACACAGACCGTGCTCCGGCCAACTTGTCAGCTGGTTCAGCAGACTGTAAGCTATCACGCCAATGTTATTGATCACTACGAGAATCCCAGGTATGTATTATTAGAATCCCAGGTATACATACATGTATTATAGGGCTCTGTATTTGCAGTATTTGGTTCTAATTTATCCACATTTTATTCACCCAACGCGAACGTATGGGGTTGGGATAAGGTCAGGAATAGAATTTCTGTGTAATATTATCTTCAATTTGGTTAATTTCTAAATTCTACATACATCAGATTATATGAAATCGTTTGTGCCATCATCAACTTCATAAGTCTGTAGAAGTATTTAAACATGTAGTAAACCTATTTGAAGTTGGTAGGTGTTATGAAATTTCTTATCTAATATTAGGCTAATGATATCAAGTACAGATTCTAACATTTATTACCAACTTCGACATTAAAGCATACCACAAAAGATATTAAGTCTTTAAATCAAAGATAGAATCATACTTTTATTGCGTTTCTTTGAAATGTAATGAATGTTATCCCCAGGAATGTGGGATCCTTCAAGAAGAGTGAGGGTGGTGTGGGGACTGGTTTAGTTGGAGCCCCCGCCTGCGGTGACGTCATGAAGCTCCAGGTAATGTTACAGAGCAGAGCAAATCCCTAGATCTGAAATTAACTTAATTGGTGCATAAGTGCTCTTGTTATAGAATTCTTTAATATCATTAGAAATGAACGTTTATGTTTATATTCTTTCGGCATCTGGAAAGTTTTGGTTCCTACGATTTTTGTTTTCTCAGCTGAAAGTAGATGATGATGGAAGGATAATTGACGCGAAGTTTAAAACCTTTGGATGTGGTTCTGCCATCGCTTCAAGCTCACTGGCTACAGAATGGGTCAAAGGAAAACATGTACGTAGTTTTAAGTTAGATTGATTGTCTTGGTAGTCGAATATTTATTGGCATATTCTGTTTACACTTTACAAACTTCATCTTCTGATGACTTGTTTGGAGACTTGAGATAACATCATGTTTTTACTAGGTGGACGACGCTTCCAAGATTAAAAACACAGACATTGCCAAGGAACTGTGCTTGCCCCCTGTTAAGCTACATTGTTCTAGTAAGTTCTATCCGGTTATTTGTGATTCTTTGTGGAAAAATCCATAAAACATCTTACTACGGAACAAAATGTTTTCGCAGTTACCATAGCAATGTTTGTCGCAATCGCGTTTAAGGGGACATACACCAAAACCTTTTAAGCCGGGACCCTCGATTTGACTTCATATTATGATGGTTAAAGTGTACGTGCTGTACATGTTTATGAAGTATAAGATCATGGGAACCATGCTTGGCCGACGACCAAACTTAAAATTCCAGCGGCACGCGCGGTCTACAAATCAATATAAGCTGGATAGTCTAACGTAGAAGGCAACTTAACGAACGCGCATTCTGCTGCGCGGTCGCTTAGCTCATTTCCAGTAAAATCCGATTAAATACACAGAATTGATACAGTATTTTAAGATTCATTACTTGTTTGGGCTTGGACACAGCTGCTCGCAAGTGTATTTTCTACACAATAACTATGCTTAAAATGAGGGGGGGGGGGGGGGGGCGATGAGCCCCCCATATTGATGGCCACTATATTCTCGTTAGTCCTAATTAATAAATTAATTAAATCTCTATGTCTTCAAAAACTGTTAAGAATTCAAATTCCGTCATCAACAAATTTCTAACGTGTCCCCATGTTTCAGTGCTAGCAGAGGACGCAATCAAAGCAGCTATCGCAGACTACAGGACTAAGAATACCAAAGAATGAGATATTGAGAGCCGACCCTCCACATTTGCACTGATCGTCAAAGAATTAATTAGACCATCTTAAAACTTTTGACTTTATGTGATAATTTGATACCATAGCCATTGCATGTTTGTTTATCTATTGTATTTGAATTCACAAAATGCGATGCTACGGTTAATTTATTACATGGGTGACAGTGTTCCTTACTAAACAAAAGATTATTGCCATAAAATTGTTCAACATTTTAACAAGTTTTAGCAAATATTACACGCATTTCATTTCTCTTTGGATTGTTTTGTGAACAAGACGTTAAGACTGTGTAACAATCAAAGATTCCAACAAAATTCTTTGTTTACGAATTTGTTTAAAGGAGTAAAGTACAGACCTGCTTTCACCTTATATAATTTCTCTTCGTTAAAACTTATTTGCATCCTGTAAGTGTAAGTCCTCTTCTGTATCCAGACCTACCCTCGGGCAGTCATGGACCCTGTTATAACAGTAACTGCAGCACTGTACCAGAGAGAGAGAGAGAGAGAGAGAGAGAGAGAGAGAGAGAGAGAGAGAGAGAGAGAGAGAGAGAGGTATTATATAAATCACACCATTACTCCACACACCGCACTGCGGTCTATACAGCACGATCAAGCCAAAGTAATAACTAATACGGTTATTGTAGCGGAGGCAGTGCACGTGCTCTGATTGTGACTTTACCCCCGTGGTATCTGTATAGCATTGTGTCCGCTATTGTATCGCTCCTACACCCTGTAAATGCTTGATTGGTCGAGTCTTCGTACTAGTAGAACAATAGCGGTGGCTTTTCTCCACAAGCCAAACTTTGAGTTTACTGACCGTTACTGTGTTTGTTCCGTTGCGTCTCTGATTACATTCAATTTGAAGTGGAGATACCCGCCAGTACAGTTCAGCTTTAATAATGACAGACACCGCAGCTCTAGTCAAGGTCAGGCCCCCAGATTAAAGATTATACTCATATCCTACAAGACTTCTTGTATTGTTTCTTAAAACAGATAGCGATTCTCCTATCAGATTGCTGTCATCTGACACCGACTCTCCATCACTGCTGTTTTAATGTGTCATTCAAACAATAACACCGAGCTATATCACGTTACCAGGAGTTTGAAGCAGCTTGTAAGAGTATAGAGAACGCGGGGGAACCCGTGCGAACCAAGATAAGTATGAGGGACCTACTAGAACTGTACGCTCTCTTCAAGCAGTCCAAAGTAGGCGACTGCAATACAGGTTTATATAAATACAGGTTTATATAAATACAGGTTTATATAAATACAGGTTTATATAAATACAGGTTTATATAAATACAGGTTTATATAAATACAGGTTTATATAAATACAGGTTTATATAAATACAGGTTTATATAAATACAGGTTTATATAAATACAGGTTTATATAAATACAGGTTTATATAAATACAGGTTTATATAAATACAGGTTTATATAAATACAGGTTTATATAAATACAGGTTTATATAAATACAGGTTTATATAAATACAGGTTTATATAAATACAGGTTTATATAAATACAGGTTTATATAAATACAGGTTTATATAAATACAGGTTTATATAAATACAGGTTTATATAAATACAGGTTTATATAAATACAGGTTTATATAAATACAGGTTTATATAAATACAGGTTTATATAAATACAGGTTTATATAAATACAGGTTTATATAAATACAGGTTTATATAAATACAGGTTTATATAAATACAGGTTTATATAAATACAGGTTTATATAAATACAGGTTTATATAAATACAGGTTTATATAAATACAGGTTTATATAAATACAGGTTTATATAAATACAGGTTTATATAAATACAGGTTTATATAAATACAGGTTTATATAAATACAGGTTTATATAAATACAGGTTTATATAAATACAGGTTTATATAAATACAGGTTTATATAAATACAGGTTTATATAAATACAGGTTTATATAAATACAGGTTTATATAAATACAGGTTTATATAAATACAGGTTTATATAAATACAGGTTTATATAAATACAGGTTTATATAAATACAGGTTTATATAAATACAGGTTTATATAAATACAGGTTTATATAAATACAGGTTTATATAAATACAGGTTTATATAAATACAGGTTTATATAAATACAGGTTTATATAAATACAGGTTTATATAAATACAGGTTTATATAAATACAGGTTTATATAAATACAGGTTTATATAAATACAGGTTTATATAAATACAGGTTTATATAAATACAGGTTTATATAAATACAGGTTTATATAAATACAGGTTTATATAAATACAGGTTTATATAAATACAGGTTTATATAAATACAGGTTTATATAAATACAGGTTTATATAAATACAGGTTTATATAAATACAGGTTTATATAAATACAGGTTTATATAAATACAGGTTTATATAAATACAGGTTTATATAAATACAGGTTTATATAAATACAGGTTTATATAAATACAGGTTTATATAAATACAGGTTTATATAAATACAGGTTTATATAAATACAGGTTTATATAAATACAGGTTTATATAAATACAGGTTTATATAAATACAGGTTTAGATAGATACAGGTTTATATAAATACAGGTTTATATAAATACAGGTTTATATAAATACAGGTTTAGATAGATACAGGTTTATATAAATACAGGTTTAACTACGAGTACGATCTGTTAGTGTTAGGTTCATGTCAGGATATTTTTTAGGGAGCGTGATTATTTAGGGGGTGCACGATAAAAATAAACTTGCTCAGATTTTAAAAATTTTTGTACCACTGTTTTCTAGAGACTGTGAGAATTTTCACAATTATACCAAATTTGTTATACCTTTTTGGAAAGATCAGTGAGTTTCGCCTAGGTGCCATATTTGATGGTGCGCGGCTTTTGGAGCAAAAGTAGCTGTAAAAGTTGCGTAATTTGACCAAATTCGTCCAAATTTGACCATTTTTGTCGTATTATTCGGATTTATCTTCAGTTCCTTAAATGAGATCATTCTGGAAATTGGCGACGACCTTCCAATAGGGCTTTCACAACTGTCCGAAAAATTTGGTGGATATCGGAGTTGATATAGTGATCAAAATGGGGCAAAATACGCTGCTTTTAGCTGTAACATAATGTCGGATGGTTGGATATGCTTTAAATTTTTCGGACACTTTCCTTGTAAGTCTATGAGTAAGCTTACCAATTTTTGTTGCAATTGGAGGTCGGGAAGGATACTTAATATCTATTTGTTTGAAGAAAATTGTGCTGGCCGAAATTAGCGCTAAAAAACCATCCTACAGTCGGCACGCGCGGCTCACTGTCGATGGCGCACTACCTAGATTATTCTTTCACTGATTCAAGATGAAAGGGTCCCCACTCCCCTTAGTTCAGGCAAAAATTGATATATCGTATAATTATTTGAACGTATTTATATATGAATTACCTTTCAGCTCGGCCGAGATACCCAAACTTTAAAGGAATGTCGCAGTGGGACGCCTGGAAGAGTAAAACAGGTTCCAGCGACCAGCACATTATTATTATCACGATTTCTATTTAGAATATTATAATAATTTCATAATATTAAAAACATAACGGTAAGTTTCATAATATATATAAGAGCTAATCACGCTTTTATAAAAGAAAAGCCACCTTTGAAATGTGAAACGCGCCCATGATAAGAACGATTTTATAATTATGATTTTGATTGCCTAAAATTTCAGGGATGACAAAAGAGGAAACGATGACAGGTTACTGTGATCTTGTGAAGAATATATTCATAACAATAGAGTCCGAGTAGTGTTTAATATTGTTTATTAATTGCACACTCATGTGCGACCAAAATAAGATAGAACTATAATGAGCTCACAAACACCAAGGTTTAAATAATGCAATGTATTTAAAACACTTTAAGTTTTATTTCTTTATGTGTGACTGCAGTGATGAATTTAGTCGTTTTATACGGCAGTTTGCCATTTTGAAAAATTACGTTCTAAGCTGTGATCTCAGAACGGTGCTTTTCCATTTTCGTGGGACAAACCTTGATGAAAAAGTTTTGCGTTAATGCTTATCATGTCTATAAGTATATTTTAAATGTGATGGGCAGTCAATGGTAACCTTAGATTTAGAATTGCGACGCTCGAAAACATTGCAGCTTATTATGATATTATGATACGATGTCTGAGCGCTGTTTGACGGCATTAAGCTTTTACTTTCAATTTATTATTTGTTTATATTTAAGGGTTGTGACTAGTCCATTTTGAAACTGACATTTAAGTAATTGAAAAAGAAGAAGTTTGTTTTTTAAACAATCATAGAATTCAAATCAAATGAAAACAGAGCAAACAACTCAAAATATCCGTAAATTATCAGCAACTTTTTATTCCAATTCCTCATTGGATTACTAAACTGCAGTCTCAACTCTCAGACTAGACTTAATACTACCAAGAAGAAGCAAGAGTATTTTATGATTCTCAAAACTGAAAACCTTCCACATTAGAAATAAAGTTACTAACCTCATATATAAAATAAATACTACTTTCGTATCGGCCCTAATGAGAACAGCCTTGGTGCCTATAATATATGAATAACGATTCGGACGGCAATGGGATGGTTTCAATTATATATTATTATTACTTATCTGCAAAATTACAGATTGGAAATTCCGGTCGCATATCCAATAAAAATATTGTGCGGTAAGGCTTGTCGTTTAACAAGATCCGTTCGAATCAGGGCCGAATAAGTTAATATAAATTATCTACTTACTTCAGCTTATCAGTATAAAATAATCAAACACAGTCAACACTGCAATAGATAGCTTAAATAAGAAAGTTACTCCATTGTGAGTGTATCTGATAGAGCTACTAGAGTCAAAGTAATAGTCAAACTGAATACTAGCCAAGTATCTTGCTCTATTTCTTCCATTTTAACTCAAATACCCAGATAAAGGTATTCTGATAAGGTAATACACGTGACCGACGGTCAACAAGCTCAGTAACAAATAAAATAAATCACCAATGTAAAGATCAAAGCTAATAACAAACTACCCCACTTTATTTCCACTTTTTATTCAAAGCTTTATTTTCAGCTAGAGCTTGAGTCACTATCGTGGCGAAGCAAAGGCCCAGTAAAACTAGTCCTATAAGATAATAGTCGAAATCTTCGTTCAACATGTCGAATGTCTTGGCTGGAGTCACCTGAAAATAAACTAGGTTAGGGATGATTGAGGTAATAAGGTTGATTGTCGTCATTAATAAGATAACATAAAAAAGAGATCTCCCCATCTTTTTTATATCTACTTTGTTTACAATTGAAACTTCAAACTCAGCGCAATTGTATTCCAAATGAATCTTAATCAGCCGAGACTAAGGTGCTCTAGAATTAGATGCTAATGGTCTAGTTCTACTTTATTTTAATGCCACCAGGACAAACATCCGGACTTCAGTTGATTTCACTGGCCCAGAGTCTCTTAACTATTTGCAAGTGTCCACCCGCTGTCCTATATCAATCTAAAGGCAGCTGTGTTGACAGACGAGCCGGAACGAATTATGAAGTAGAAATTAATGAACTAGTACAGATGTCTACTTGTTTTTACAACAAATAACAATTAACAAAATGAGAATGGAGATAATGACATGGGATTTGGGGGTGCTTCGTGGGGTCGGCTTTTTAATGAAGACAAACTAATACCCAACTACAGAGTTTAATTAGAAGCTAGCTATTAAAGTCAAGGAGCACAGTTTATTGTATTATATATATTGTTAAGTTCGCTGTTAGTACTTTGGCTTGATCCGAGGAGATGCTGGGGAGAAGTAACTTTTGTCGAATCGCCTTAGTTGTGTTTGCAGCCTTACTGGCCATTTATACAACAAATAATGGTGAGCATATAATTAGCAACTAATTAATTAACCTTCTAATCTTAATACCAAGCATCTAGGAGCGTAACGTAGAAAATATTGTGCACAAATTTTTCAAACCTGTATTTATTTTCCGTATTTGATTGCCTGGATTATCATAAATAAAAGGAATAAAACATAGCAATGTGCTGAGGAGCTATATTTTTGACAGGTTCATCACGAAAATCAATATTTCAGAGTGGAAAGATGTTTCCTTCGGGGAATATCTAGATGTGGAAATAAAGCGAGGGTTAGAAATAAAGATACTGTACAATCCAGCAGAGGATCCTAACAAGGTCGTCAGATGTTACTTCTGTAACTCAGAAATAAACTGTCACTTTTTCGACCTTCAGCTCGGTAGCAGTTCATACTTCTATCACGGATGTACCCAGGGCACCCTTGATCTTCCAGAAGTTGAAGAAAACAAACCTTGGATTCTCAAGATCTACAGAAGAAAAGCTCGGTTGATGATAGACTTGAATGGAGTAAACAGACTAGAGCACGACACAACATTAGGAAGCTGTTCCGAATTCTGGAAAGCAAGTCAGATTTCCAAGGTGAAGTTCGATGTAATCTCTCAAAACGTGGTGACACATTACAGGATAGCAGCACAGCACGATGGGGAAGAAGAGGATGAGAGTGAAGACGACAAGGATGAAGGAGATGAGAGTGAAGACGACAAGGATGAAGGAGATGAGAGTGAAGACGACAAGGATGAAGGAGATGAGAGTGAAGACGACAAGGATGAAGGAGATGAGAGTGAAGACGACAAGGATGAAGGAGATGAGAGTGAAGACGACAAGGATGAAGGAGATGGGAGTGAAGACGACAAGGATGAAGGGGATGAGAGTGAAGACGACAAGGATGAAGGGGATGGGAGTGAAGACGACAAGGATGAAGAAGATGAGAGTGAAGACGACAAGGATGAAGGGGATGAGAGTGAAGACGACAAGGATGAAGGGGATGGGAGTGAAGACGACAAGGATGAAGGAGATGAGAGTGAAGACGACAAGGATGAAGAGGATGAGAGTGAAGACGACAAGGATGAAGGAGATGAGAGTGAAGACGACAAGGATGAAGGAGATGAGAGTGAAGAAGAAAAGGATGAAGGAGATGAGAGTGAAGAAGAAAAGGATGAAGGAGATGAGAGTGAAGACGACAAGGATGAAGGGGATGGAAGTGAAGACGACAAGGATGAAGGAGATGAGAGTGAAGACGACAAGGATGAAGAGGATGAGAGTGAAGACGACAAGGATGAAGGAGATGAGAGTGAAGACGACAAGGATGAAGGGGATGGAACGGAAGACGGAAATAACAATTTCACAGGTACGATTTAAGGATAAAAGGTCTAGTATATAGGTCGAGACGAGGATTAAGGATAAATTAACAAGGAGGGATTAGTCACCAAGGAGGGATTAGTTATCAAATCTAAAAACTACCTTAATGAAGATATTAAAATTATTTTGCTAATTATATTGGTGGGCCCTAGAGGACACTCGCCATGGTGGTAAAAAAGTTAGCATCCAACAGGGGGAGGTGGAGGGGAGCTGGGAGGGGAGCCGGGAGGGGGAGGGGGAGGGGGAGGGGGAGGGGGGGAGCAAAAAGAGCATTTTATTATGTATCTACCAGTCACCCACCAAACTTTGTTAACATATTGGCCTTTCTTGTAGTTTTCAGTATAGCGAAAACAGTTCATTATTAGGAGGGAATAGTGAGAATAATTTCGAGCCAAATTACTGTGGTAAATGGCAAAAGGTAACAATTAAAACTTCAAAGTGCAGCAAGTTGACGCGTGAGGGTCTCTAATGATCTTCTAATTTTGTCTTTAGTCAGAGGACAAATGAACTGCAACCATAAGTTTCGCTACAAGCATGAACCATTCTACATAGCATTAGAAAATATGCAATAATTAGCTAAATCGAAGAATTGAGCACCATAGAATTAAGCTAGTGGCACCAACAGATGATTAATTGTAGGAGAACAGACCATTATCTGCACTTCACGAGTAAGGACCGAATAATATAGACATGATAAGGACGTGAAGTATTATTAAAGTACGATGATTACGGGAGGGAGAAGCAGGAGGAGAAGGAGGACGAGGAGGTACAAATAAATAGACATCTTATATTCTAAAACAGGTGATTTGTATTGAGCAACTTTTCTAGGTATTAGAAGTAATAATAAATGTCGGGTTTTGATAACTGCTGATTGGTACAAAAGGAAAATATTTTGGGATTATTTGCGGTATCAGCAAGTTTACCAGAGTTTCAACAGCTCTGCTTACTTTTAACTTTATAGCGTGTCTGATAGTATACTGTATAGTGTATATACTAAGTAATGATGTGGAAGAAGAAGACTTCAAGCCTTATTCCTCTTCTCCTACTAGCTGCAGTGTTATTGATGATTGGCGGAGATAATGGTAAGGACATACCTTATCGGACCTAATTTGGACGGACATTACTTGAACGCTGGAGGCCCTAGCGTTCATCTTAATGTCCGTTCAAATAAAGTCCGTTCAATTAATGTCCGTCCAAGTTAAAGTCCGTTGAAATTTTTTCAAAAATGTTTCCATTTCGAACTTTTTACCCAGAATATGACAACTATCTAACTATGAGAACTTTATTGTGCCGTAAGTTAACGACGGAAAGGTTCTCCTTGGTCTGCCGGAGGCACAGAAAACTCTACTAGTATATGATGTTTTTAAGGGTCACTTGGCGGAAAAAGTCAACGAAATCATGGCACTCAACAACATAGTTCATGAGCTAGTCCCCGCCAACATGACAAACTTGTTCCAGCCTCTAGATATAACGGTAAATCGTGTTGCCAAGGACATTGTCCGACGTTTTTATATTCATATTACTGAGGGGAGGTAATGAAACAGTGCTAGGAAAGCTCCACGTGATGTTAAGGTTAACCTAAAGTTGTCTAAGATAAAACCACTTCACGCCGAATGGCTTGTAAAAGTTAACACTGAAATGCAGGACCGGGGTAGTTTGATAAAAAAGGTTTCCACAAAGCTAGAAATCACTGATGCTTGTTTAAGCATGGACTATTTCATGCACGAAAACCCATTTAATGAAGATGATATGTGATATTAGACACTGATCATGTACACATATTTTAACATTTTTACTGCTTAATGACTGCTATTCTTACTTACTGTATAAAAAATGGATTAAAAAATCATTTGCTGAAATTAAAAAAACGTCAAAAATTGAAAAAAATTCGGATTTTTGATGGTTTTGAATGCCTTCGAGCGTTCATATTAATGTCCGTTCACAATTATGTCCGTTCATGTAATGTCCGTCTAAATAAGGTCCGATAAGGTAATACATTATACATTATGATGAATTGGGTAAATTCTAATCTGTTAAGTGTAGGGGGGGGG